CCGTTACCAAATTAACGGAAAAGCACAATGCCACCGTCCCAATGAAAATGAGAAGTGATTCTCGTTATTTAGTATTACTGAGATTGAAGACATGCCTTTACCTCGAGGCCATCGCAGGGGATGTACCAGCAGTGCTTGGTCACTACGCCTCCGATCGTCATGTCTGGCCACTTTTCCGTGAACTTCCACTTGCTGTCAGCTGTGTGGTACTGCAGCTTGAGCCAGTCCTCCGATCCCTTAACAGAGACGAAGCTGCACTCATCGCCCGTGTACGCCCACTCGTTCATGTCATACTGAGTCGCAAACGTACTCACGAACTCCTTCTTCATACCACCACCTGCACCGTTCTCGACGAAGTGGATGTGCAGCGAATCTGAGTAGCCGTGCCTCTCACCGCGGGTGTGGCCGTAATCGAAAGCGTGAATACTGGTGTACTTTAAAGCGTCAATCCACTTGAGCATGTCGTCCTCATTGTAGTGCTGGATCGAACAGAAGTGAACACTCACGGTCTTCCACGTAGTGGTAGACGCCTTCGGCTCATTGGCGAGCTGGGTCCGCCGGTCTTCGGCCCACTACAGAAACGTGGCCATACTCGTATCGTTCAAGGTGTTGCTTTTTTGACCCACGCGTGACATAACAACACTACCTAGGTTGATGTATAGGAGTGGAAGATCCGCACATGTGAGCAGAAATCTAAAACAGCGAACAAACACATACAGTTGATACAGTCCTCTTTTGATGTGATATCCCAAATAGTGATACCCTGTAGTTAAGGAGGTTGGCTGCTGAACGTCAGCTTACACGTCCAAGTCAAAAATGCATCTAACCTCCAGATTGGTGAGCTGCACCCAGCAACGAGATGCTATCACTACATATAAAGAGGATTGCCTATATACAACTTGGGACAGCGCGCTGGGATAGAGCGAGCAGATCTTTGGAGAGTAGAAAAGCTGTGTTCATCGATTCGGGATACAGTATAATGCATACCTCTGCACGAAGTATTAGACTGCACCGCCAGCAAGCAACGCAAGATTCCGGTAGTTTACCCATTTGTCAATGGTAACAATACAGCGCTTGAGTAACTCAAAGTTTCGGGACGAAATGCTACCTGCATGCATGCATGCTATAACCCATTTTCTTTCCCATTACGAAAGGCAAGGAGGCAGGGCAGCTTTACTTGATACTACACAACAGTGGTTGGTTGGCTGTGGATGGTTGGCAGTGCAATCATCAAGTTAGGCGTTAGTAAACATATGCCGGCGCAATCAACAGACTCCAATTGCTGTCACTTATACAGTACGAGAGACCGTGGGCGTAAACAAAACTGCATAAGAAAAAAAATTACATTTCATCCTGTACTACATGATCCTTCCCATTTTTCATATCCTGTTATATATGATACGGACCGGACTCGGTCCCAATCAAAAGAATTGATTATCCTGTTAAACACTATAGCGTAGTTGCTAATAACGCCGCGTGGTTGATCTAAATGCTCCCTGATCCGCTCTCACCATGCACGCAAAAGCTCTTAAATTTGCCGTCTGAGCACAGGATGCGCGGGTCTTCCGTCAACTGCACCTTCTCCAGAAGGCGTTAGCCGTTGCCTTAATTCCAATATCATTCGACGCGGAGACGCCTTTTTTTTTTTT